CTCCCCTCCCCCCCGCCCCTACTTACCAGCTCTGATTCTGGCTCCAGCTCCCTGCTGCAGCCACTGGGGACTGCCCGAATCATCAAATCTCTCCATATCGTTTCCAAATCGATTTGGAGAGCTTCAAATCGATTTGGACCTTTTAATTAGTCCCCTGATTCAGTTCGGATTCACAGATTTGGACACCGAATCGGGCTGAATCTCCTCCAAATCGAATTGGCACCCGAAGCTTTGCACAGCTTTAGTAGACACCTTCCTGAGTCTGAACTGCATGTTTAGAGTTAACTGCTTGGGGATCTCCTAGAAGTCAGTGGGAAATCAGTCTGCTTTTTCCAAGGCTAGCTTTCGCCCAGATTATTTAGGATGTTTAACAGTAAACTTATTACATTTAATAATAGCCTATATCATTTTTTATAACTTTAATATAATTAATTATTATAATTAATATAATATAACATTGTCTTAGTTATGCTAGTTTACAACAGGAAGAATGGAGCAGTGGTTAGGTTAGTACTTGGAAACCGGGGTTCATTTCCCAGCTCTATCGCAGACTCCTTATTCAAGACCAACAAGTGGCCTTCGGCAAGTCACTTAGAGCCATATTTTTAAACATGCCAAAATGATAGAGAGGCATATAATGGCATTTCTAAACTTCCCAAAGCCTGTTACACATTCATTTGGTCTCAATTAAATCAAGAATGATTAAGGACCTAATCTGGTTAGACACTTTGTAATATCCCACCCAGGGACAGATTTTAAAAGTATTTCAGCATCTAGCTCCTATGGATTAGACACCTACATCCCATTTACAATCCAGGCACGGGTGCCAATCTGCCTCTTTAGGCATCTACATATTTTTGATGATTTTGTCCTTAGTGTCACTGAATCTCAGTTTCTCATCAGTAATAGTGAAGGTGATAACAATTCCCTGACTCAAAAGGGTGCTGTGAGGATTAAATATTCGGAGGTACTCAAATTTGAAGGTAACGGGGCCAGATAAAGTAGCTTCTCCCAGTCTTGTTTATCTTGAAATAGTTCTTTTTCCACCCCCTCATCCTCATAATTTGAAAGTATTTTATTTTTACATATTTTGTATATGAGAGAGGCTCTAGAAATATGCAGAAATCCTCTAAGGAATTTCAGGTTAACAAGCAAACTTTTTATGTGCACAAATAAAAAATTCCTTTAGGCACCTAAATCATTATGGAACGGTAAGAAATATGTTGTTTTATTCATAAGAGAGTCATATTTTTCTTATGATGAGTCTGCCTTCGGCAGAAACTGTTTCTGGATCCGGAAAGGAGAGAAGTCTTCCTGGTTGAAATGGGGTGAGGTGCAGCTCTTCCTTGCATTTTCAAGGTATTGGCAGCTCATATGAAATATTTGTGCAAGCTGCATGGAGAAAATAGGGTATTTTCTTATTGCGCCTTTACATCCATCCTCCTCTAAATGTAGTTTTGGTAACACCCATAAATTCCTGAGTATCTATATTAGAATACAAGGGATGATAAGAGAAGGCTATGGAGACAGTATTTTTATCTGAGCGTCCTCATCTGTTATCTCAGATGTCCCATACCATTCAGAGTTAGACTTTTTCTCACTAAACTTTATACTCAAGGCTGATGTTGAACTTAAAAGTTTATTTAATTTTTCATGTTTGATGTTTCTTGCATTGTCTTTTGAATTATTAAATCTTTTAACTCCACTGCTGGGAACACTTTTTGACCTCATCTCTCAGGCTAGTGGCATTCGGAGACTGATAATATCTGAAGTTCAAAGCGTGGTCCTCTTAAAGTCATTAGAGAAGGACTTCCCATGTGGAAGGGGGTATTGTCTTCATGTTAGGGCAGAGCCACTGGATTGTATTCCCAGTTCTGCCTTTTCTCATTCTTTGATCCTAGTCACATAAGCTCTTCATGCCTTAGTTTACTCATCTCTGACGTTGAAATAAAATATTTCTGACCTTCTTTATGGAGTATCAGGAGACTGAAGATAAGAAATGCCATGCTGGCTCAGACCAATGTTCCATCTAGTTCTTTAATTCTGTCTACAACAGTAGCATAAATGGATGCTATAGAGGAAGAGCATTGAACTGGGTTTTGCTAGTCTCCTTTCCAATATTCTCCCTAGCATCCACCATTATTAGTTTAGAGGTGCCAGAGGAAACATCTCCAACCATTCTGTTCAATAGCCACATTGAACTGGGTATTGCTAGTCTCCTTTCCAATATTCTCCCTAGCATCCACCATTATTAGTTTAGAGGTGCCAGAGGAAACATCTCCAACCATTCTGTTCAATAGCCGTTAACAGATCTCTCATCCATGGATTTATCCAGTCCCCTTTTTAACCTGGCTGTGCTGTCTGCCTCCATCACCTCCTCTGGCAATGAATTCTATAAATGAATTATGTGTTGCGTAAAAAAATATGGTCTCTTATCGGTTTTAAACCCATCGCTAATTTCAGTGAGTGGCCCCAAATTCTAACAAATTCATTTTCGTTAAAAGCTTAGCAATCCTTGGATGAAAGGTGCTAAACAAGGTTCTGTATTACATTTATGGTAAATGACATTTTAGATAAAGTAAATGAGTAGATACGGATTTTTCAGCTGGTCTGTAACACAACAGCAGCTAGGAAATTCAAGATTAAGACTGAAATGAAACACCGAACCCTTTTAAAGCATATACAGCATGTAAAGCGGTCATATCTTAGCATACAGAGATGGAAAATATGTATTAATTGAGCTAGAGTCCATTGGCCTGCCATTGCAAGATGGGCCCACTTGGGTAATGTCCAGTCCAGTTTCAAATATACGTACGGATGCAGATTTTGCTAATTCCTTTAGACAATTAATCGACAGCCTATTACAGTGGATCTTAGAGTCAGGAAATATTTTCCAGTATCAAGTCTAAATTGT